CTTACTAGGCACATTTTGAGGTCCGTGATTTTTTGGGCTAATTTTTCCGTCATAAAGAGTCGACTTATACACAGATAAATATGGTGATACTTCAACGATAAATGTAGAGCATGGCAATCAATGAAATGATCAGTGTCTAATCATGAACTAGCTCTTTGTCAGTGACAAGTTTGCAAAATTAATATTGGAGAAGGGTACATTACTTCATACAACAGTTACTGTGAAACCATCATACTGAAAAATATGGCGACTGCTACACTCAACCAGACCTCTTTGTGCAAGAAAATCCTGGAACCACTCATAAAAACAAGCAGTAAAGGTCTGAAAAATTTAAACCTTGCATACGTTGTTGTTTTGAGAAATATTGCTTTCTACATGTGCCTTAGCCTAAGAGTAATGGTAAAATGTACAGGTGCCATATTTGTCTGTCAGTGGATTGAATCTATTGGGTGAACACCAGAAAAATAATAATATTGATACAATTAAAATGAGGGTTTAGTATAGGTATGCTGTGGTTCAGTTTCATCCTTAGTTTAATTCTTTTACTTTTAATAGCTGAGGCCAAATTGATGGTGACACATCATCTCATCATAACATACACTCTAGGAGCTACATTTTATCTTCCTTTACACAAAATGCATTTTCATTCTTATCATTAACAAAACCAAAGGAAAATAATGCTTATACCAAGGACAAAAATTAATGACAACATTTACCTTTTTATAACTAGTGCATAATTTTCCAAGAAAATGTTAACCTCATTGGCACTTTTGTTTACTTTGCTTTGCTGCTGGTTGTCATCCATACCTGTATGTATGAAATTAAGTAAGGGTGAAAAGATTAGTATTTTCTTTGCAAAGATAGTTGTAGCGAGTGTCTCCCCTAATATATGGATCACCAAAGGCTCACAATGAAAGCCAACAAGACCAAGTTCTTGCTAACACATGTAGGAGCAATAACTGCTAATAATAGGCAATAGTCTCTACGGAATTAAGTATTCAATTGTGCATGAAGTAGTATTTATTTCATTTCAATATTGAAAACACATAGTTGAAAAAGTATGTAAAGTGTGGTAACATATAACATGCATATTATTATCATATTCCTTATGATTTAGTTCAAAGGGCTTTATTCTAAATAGATCAAAAGAAAGAAAGTGGCTTACGTCAGCCACTTATTTCAATCAAAAAGCAAATATTATTAAGTGAAGAGTAATTTTGCTGCAAATCTGTCCTCTTCTGCGCGAGCAAAGAGAATGATTTAATGCATTGTAACCCAACTGATTCTTGCTGGAGAGCATGGGAGAGAGCACCCTATCCTTTAAAAAAGATACCAGATCTTCATCACACGTGTCAACAGTTTGTGAGTTAACTTTCCAGGATATAAGATGTTTGACATCAACCATACCAGAGGTTGAATTTTTGCGTAGTCCCATACAATTACAATGAATACATGTCTTCAATTGTCTCCATAATAACCATCAATGTAGACACTATGAGGTTGCTTCATGTAACATAATAAAAATTATGAGGCTGGAAGAAAATCACAAATTTTCAGTCATTGAAACACGGAGATCTGTCTCGTTTTTTAATTATGTATCATCTACTTTTGCATGTCCCAAACAAAATAATAAAAAAAAATCATCCCTCGACACAGAAGGATTCAATGAATCCAGGTTAGTAGTTACTCGGACGCTTTATCGGTATACATCTGACAGTATTTAGCCCGAAACTTGAACGCGATCTTTGAAGAATGGTTGTAATATTTAAATTTAACAAAAATACTAGCATGAAGTGCAACCGAAACCTTACCTTACCGTACTAGTTCCGATAGAAAAGCACAACTTCGATCACCAACGCACTCCAAACTAATAAGGGAATCGAAGCCACGAGGCAACGTCAAATTCTCGTCTTCCTAAGCTTTCCAACGTATCGAAGAAAATTTCGCCAATAATTCGCACTTAAAAACGCAACCAGAATCTTAATCTTTCACCAATCCGAAGTGTCCCAAACGACACCAAGGATAGCTCATGAAACAAGGATATCCCGTGAAATTCTTAACCTTCAGCGCGGAAATCTTAACGATCTTCTTACAATTAATATTTTTACATTGCATCCCTCCCCTAGTTGGGAAGTGACAAGCAAGAGACACGTTCACAACGCCTTTTGATTGGAAGAAATAAAACCACATTCTATTGGTTATTAGTTGTGAGGACATAACTGCAACGGAAGACAACTGCAACGCTACATTTAACCCCTGTCAAGTTGAAACGAAGTGACTCTCCACATGGGAGCCTGGTCACTTGGAAAGCACAAGTATCCTAAAGGGTATTGGCTATAATCCAAATAAATGCCACCCCATGTCCCAGGCTCCCCAAAGAAATAAAAAAGTACACCATGGGAAGAAGCAGCATAAAAATTCTATTTGCCAGCAAATATTTCCTTTCTTTTAAAGCTTTCAAATCTGAAATCAAATTTGACACTGAACCTGAGTTGTCTTAACCCACCTTTAAACAACCTGGCCCTGCATGTCCACACTGACTCAATAAAATTAGAAGACAAACATTTGTTTCAGAATTACAGTTGGGCCTACTAGTCCACTCTGATCTAGATAACCTGTAAATAAAAAGAAAATGTTTTGAATATGCCCTTGAACCCTGATAAATTTGCAAATGTACCTTTAGGTTAACAATTTCTAGAGCTGATCATCCTTGCCACAATTATCCTGACTGATTTTCAAAATGCTAATTTCCAAAGGATATATTTGCATCATTTCAATGCACATACCCAAGGATGCAATCAAGACCTTCTACCCCAAGGGTTTGTTGTATTTTCTAACTGATCCAACATGGGGTGGACAACACCCTCACTTGAGCCAATTACTTGCATTGTCTCAAACAGAGCAGAAGAGTTGTATTTGACTGAACTTTCCATGAAATTCACCCCACAACTGTAGTGCAACTTTATATTGTTGACTGCTAATCAAAACATGCCATTATGTTACATATCTGCTCAATCAAGTCCACAGAACAAAGACCACATAGCACTCACCTTTACCCTATGATTAGGGGACAACATATCTCAAGTAAAAATTAAAAAAAAAAAAGCACATTTGATTTTGTTGTTTATTAGTCAGATGAAATCCATCTTCCCAAGCTTGCAATATTCATTCATTTAAAGAGCTGTATTTCATTTTTATTTTCCGAGAGAATTTTACCTTACCCAGCATGACCCTATATAAATTAACTCATTATGTTTGAATGTACATACAAATATATTAACATTCATGCAACTGCCAAGTAAAGGCAGTGCCAATGATGTTATTAAAATATATTTTTGTAAATGATGCTCCATTAGCTGTTTACAAAACAGGTAACTTGGTAGTCTCTAGTTATTTTTCTCCCTGTTTACAAAGTCCTTTTTACCAGACCCATGATCTGTACACATTTTTGTACAAAAAGGCTTTTTTCTATCTACATTTCCACATAAGGTTGAGTCAAATTGCTTGACATGAACTGAAGAGGAATTGACTGATGCGCATCTGCCTCAAAATTGAAAACTCTTTGACTTTACTAGTAGCAGTATGTACTGTAGTATTTAAATATTTCAGACAAGTTTATTACAGATAAGTTCCTTTCATTCAACTTTCACCAAGCAATTAAGCAATCGCTGTACCAAGTAAGGAGTAAACTCCAATACTTTTTCTTTTCAGAACTTGATCTCTTCAAGATCTTAAAAATCCTTTTAAGTAGCAGAATTTGATATGTTTTCAAGTATTTTCTATTTTGGACAAACCCTCTTCATTAGTCTTGTATATAAGCTTTACAAGATTCTACATACATGTATGCACCTAAAAACAACTTTACAAAGCATCTCAACCCAAAGATTTCCATATTTGCAATTTCTCAATAATTTCCACAAGGGAACAAGGGATTTCTACTGCACATGTGAAAGGCTGGTCTATAAACCCCTACCTGAACAGACATGCACTTACAGTGCACATGCAAAGCAAAATGGTCAGTCAGCTAGGGTTTCGGTCTACTGTACATTTTCACGTTTACTTGTGACCATGCCACAGTATGGAGGTCAAGGAAAAAAAAACATACGAGAATCCAGTAAAAATAACACAAGAATCAATGATGACTATGTGTTTGAGATAGTAAAAGAGGTGAAACGATTCCAAACACCATTAAGAAAAGATCAGTCCTTTGCATTTTGTCAGACCGGCCTTGGTCTGAACTACTGTCATTGTGTGTAGTCATACTCATGAGTTCTGGCAGGACATGCACTGTGGCCACATAAAGAAATGTCCCTGCTGAAAACAGCATGGCTATTCCAGTTCCCTTTACACTGGATAGGGCTTCTTTACTACTCTGTTTTGAGGAAATGATAAGAGAAACCGTCATGAAATCATTCATGTTTTGCCTAATACAAAAGTAAAATGTTTGTGAATATAAGAAAATCATATATTTGAACTGCGGTTAAAGAAATGAGTATGAGAGGGATCTTTGGAGTTCTGAACACAACTAAGGCAGTGGTGAAAATTTGCTGCAGCTTAAGTAGTGATCATAACTGCAAAGACTGCTCTCAAACTCAAAAGTAAAATGGGAAAAGATGGATCTTTCTCAATGAGAAAAATACAATTGACTTTACAAAATAACTCATAAAATAAAACATGACTGTACATGTACATCCCTGACAATAAACAAACTTAACACCTTCCACCCTAACATCAGTGACCAGCATATTCTCTACACTCTTCACATTTCTTAAGGTGTTGACAAGGAGAATTTGTTTGCCAATCAAGAGCTCCTTTCATTGGTGCACATTACCTATATTCCCATGACCTTTCTGTGTGTTTCAGGGGTGATACTGTTAGGTGAAACTTATTCTGGTTGTTCTTAAGGTGTCAAAGAGTCAATGGAATTGTACTCTAATTCAAATTTTGCCATGCTTGATAATAATAAAATTAGCTTTATGATCATTTGTTACCTGACTAAGACCAAAGTATGTCACTAAAGCCATCACTGGTGCAGCTGCAGCGAATACGATAAGATGTTTACGTATTCTGTTTCTAACAAGACCCTGAAATAAATAACAAATAATTAAAAATCTCTATTACATGACCCACGACAAAGCCCTACTCATGACAAGTAATCCGAAAGAAAACAAAGAGAAAGCTTAGTATGAAATAAGAATTCCAAGTCAGTACTTCCAACATTCTGTAGCATTTTCTCAGAATGCAGCATCGAATTTCTGATAAAAAAAATGGAGAAAGAGAGATACGTTTGCTTGGACACTCCTGAATGGAAAATACAAATATTTGGCTGTTGGTCAGGACATTGGGACCTTGCAGCTTCTAGGTTGTGTGCCATTATCTCAACCCAAACATTTCCCTGTCTGGCCCAACAGAACTCAGTCAGTAGGTACACAGTGTATCTGAAGAGCCAGAGCAATTAGTCAAGAAAAGATAAGGGCAGGGTACATACACAAAAACTACAATGTTGTCGTCAGGTTTGCATTAAACCCTGCTGAAAGGCCACAAGTTTTTTGACTCGTGTTGTTTTGGACATGTACAGTTGTATAACTGTCCATGCAAATTTGAAAGGGTATGTCAATGATAAATAGCTACAAAATCACAGTGAAGGTTTTTGCATACTGCTGAGAATGTTAAAGGAGCCAGTCATGAATTCATATGTATCAAGTGTTACATTTCTAATGATGCCAAGTCCATAGTGCCCAACGAGACTTGGAGATATAAGAAGTTTGAAAAATTAAAAAAAAATTTACAAGATTGTAACAGACGCTTACTTCATGAAGAAGAAATGTTGATAAACCAAAAGCAGCTGGTGCCTACAAAAAAAAAAATAATAATAATAATAATATTACTTTAACCCATTAATGGCTGCAGCTTTTGTGGAAAACTGTGTTTTGAAGCTAGTCGAGCAGATTTCGGGTCACTGTTGTGGTTTTAAAAGCTCAAACTTACCAAAAACCGCTTGACAGCTCATGCACTCGACGGCCTTTCGATCCAAATGCAAAATGGCGGCCTGAAAATCTCGGGCACGCGCAGAGAGCAAAATTTCGACATAGTTTTTGGGTTGAAAAGTCATGCCCCACTTACGACTTCTACTTTTCTCTCTTTCTCCTGCCCTTTTTTTCCCCTCTCCTTGCCT